CTAAAGGCTACAATGGCTTAAAGTGCGTACCCATCCACACTTCTGTGTGATTCATTTTTTTTAAAAACATAACCGTTTGGAAAACTCACATGTCAAAGGCTGTCAGCACTACATCTGTGTCATTAAAAGGTAGGGTGGGGGTTTTGCATTTTGGTATCCCAGGGTACATGGGTCACTGCTCTGAACATACACTAGGTGAGGGACATCCACATCTACTTGTTGCAAACTTTTATGCGAGCTCAGCAAACTACAGAGCTACAGAATACATTAACACAAACTACTTTAAAATGCGTTTCTTGAAACTGCAAGGAAAACAGAATGGGAATTCAGAAGGAGTGAGAAATGAAAAGGAAGCACCGAAGAAAGCTTTAAGTCAGACATTAGCACAGTTGACGCCTGACTTACAGTTCAAGAAAAACTAGGGTGATTCACCATTTCAGTATTTCACAACCACATGGTACATAACTTAGAACAGTCTTGCCTGAAAATATCTCAGAATCAAGGGCCTACACTTTTCTGAGATAAACAAGTTACACAGTTTTCATAGATTGTATAGGTGGACTCCAAAACATATTACAGGACTCCTATTAAAAATTTCTCCACATGGCTGTGATAAAGATGTGCCACATCACTATGTTTAACCATGCATCTTTCAAGACAAAGCTTTAAGACACAAATGAATTTCATAAGCTTTTTCTTCTGTGATGCAGCACAGAACTCTTCTCAACCAAGTTTTAACTACAAAATTTATGTGCTTTCTGGAAATATAATGCAATGACACAAAGATTAACAAAACTGGTGAACAAGTAAGACCTAACCCATGCATACTTATCAACTAAAAGATCATTTTAAAAGACATTAAGAACACCTCTAATCCAAAACACAGTTTGCCTACTACTAAGATTGCACACTAGTTTGAGAAGCACTTGATACAGAAGTCACATCTGCTATATAATTATCACAGCACACAATCCTGGTCTTGATTTCTAACGTGGTTATATACTTTAAGAGAATTTCTATGAACTGGACAGCTTTAGTAATTCAAGTGACAGTCATTTAACCGTTTTGTATTAACACTCAATAACAAACTACCTTCAAGTGCAAAATTCTTTAAGGGAAGTTCATCCATACTACTGGAACAACATTAATGCCTTCCTTGATGCTGACAAGGAAGTGTACATTAGTGTTACTGCTATACCAAATGATCATTTGTGCTGTTACACTGTAAACAACCGTAGGAATTAATTACTAATGCGGTATTAAAGCAGAAAGGAAAAGGGCTCCAAATCCTGTCCAGTAGTTTGCAGCAACACTTATTTTTATCCAACAACAACCAGAACTTCTGTTATACAGTAAGTGAAGAATCTAATTTCAAGAATTGAAAACTGCCGTTTGTGTCTTAACTTGGAATTTTGCAGAGCAATAGCTAGGTACAGTTTGATACTGATAACTGTGTCATTTCCAACCAGCATCTCAAATGCACAAAGCAGTGATGTGACTTACTTTTCATAAAAACGCACAACTACTGTCACACAAAGGTCAAGTTACACATGCAATTGCACTGTACTACTTTGATTCAGAACTTGGGGTGTTTTGAACCAATGCCTCAAAATCAATAGCATTGAGTTTCTTTGATTACTTATAATTTGTAATTCATTATTTTAGTGTTGTTTCACTAGTTTCAGAAATCTTGTTTGCTTATTAGCCAAATTTTACTTCTAAGTCACATGGAATAAAGTTCATTTAGTTATCTGAACCCTTACAGGACAGAAGCAAGTTTAAAACGAACATGTGTGCATGCAAGGCAGTACAGTGCTTGAACTAAAAGGATGGACACGAGTTTCAGTGATTCAGTCACCAAATCCATGCTTATTTTCAGTACCTGCTAGATACTTCATTTCTGATGGAGTATTCCAAGAAAATAGAAAAAAGCAAAAGTGAAGATTACTAAAGTTCAAGATATCAAATCACTTAAAGCAGCTACAGAGCTAAGCATCAAAACCCATTGCTCTAACTTCCCCTGTTAAAACACCTGAAAGAAACCACTTAACTGCAGAGCTTAGTATTTCTTCCGAGTACAAAAAGCTGCTAAGATGACTTTCTTCACACCCAGGCTATTCCTCAGTTTTGGTGGGCTTTTCTGTTTAATGATAGAGGAACTCTGAATCCCTCTAAGCTGCACACCTGACAAGCTTGTATGAAGTCCCACCCACAGCATAAGCAGCTCTCACAAGGGGGAAAAAAATCCCACTATCTTGGGAATCAGTCGCTTAAAACCAGGATAAAGCTAATTCTACCTTATTTCTATTTACACGCTGTCCTCACTGACTACACCATCACACATCCATCACCAAATCTCCACTATAAAAACCACCATAAGTAACAGTAATTTCGTGGAGTAAGCATTACATATTCCAGTAGTCTGAGTAACAAGTGTTAAGAATATCTAACTTGTATATTGCAAGGCTGAGTTATGAGATTAGAGCAATACTGTTAGATTTATGAAAGTTTAACTTTAGTTCAAATAACATGTAGAAAAAAATCACTTAAGAAGCATTGCTTCATGTTGTGTATCAGCAAAGTTTGCAGCAGCAAGGAGCAAAACTAAGCTACGGAGCTGGTAAGAAGCTATACACCACACAGATTACCTTCTGTTATCCAGTAGAAGAGGTGAAAGAAATAGGAAGAAAAACAATGTTATTCTATTGAAAAATTTCTAATCCAACATTTCAAAGGCAGCATGCTCACTCTAGTTTACAGACATTCTCATCCTACCTTCTTGCCAGCACCAACATTTGCCTTGGCTGTGCCCCTGACTTTCTTCATTCTGTTCTTACGCTCCTTTCGCTGCTTCCTAGAAGTCTTCTTCTTTTCATACAAGCCATGCTATTACAAAAAGAGTTAAAGTTGTATTTAACTTGGTTTCACTGATAGTAAATTCTAGATTTAAGTTTCACTATTTCTGGACTCTTCAAGTAGCATTTAAATTTGAAATATTAGCTAAGTATTGAGACAAGTTGACTAATGAATGATTCAACACAGAATGTAAGCACTTAAGTAGCATGTGCATCAGTCTCCTCTCCCATGCTTCTTCAAGACCTTTCATAGTGGTTCATTATCTATTACTCCTAGACATTGCTGGCACCATCAATTTTGCCTTCACAACTCCCCTATAATCAACAATTTAAAAGTTAACCTATTTTGCAAATGTAGAAGCTAGCCTATACCATTTTAAGACCTCTTATATAACTCTCAATGCACCAGCAGTACTTTCACAACACTTTTTATACATGTAAACCATGAACCACTGAACACTTCAAACCGACACTAATTGTTTTCAAAGTTACCAGAAACACCCTACCCTGGCAAGCCTGTGCTTTGGTTCATTTTTCTTTGCATAGTCCAGAGAATCATAGATCATGCCGAAACCTGTTGTCTTGCCACCACCAAAGTGAGTTCTGAAGCCAAAGACGAAAATTACATCAGGGGTTGTCTTGTACATTTTTGCCAGCTTTTCCCTGATTTCTGTTTTGGGGACTGTGGCCTTCCCAGGATGAAGAACGTCAATCACCTAAGAAGGAATTTTTGGCAGTTGCATAAAAGCAAGAAAAGGTCAATATCCAGTACAACAGTCAGGTGCCACAGCTCTACCAGAAGTTTAACACTTAAAACTAACCCACCTTACCAGCAGAAAGTATTATTAATTTGATGCAAAAGTATTCAGAACAGTTTCCTGCTTCAAAAGACAAAACAGCTCACTACCTCACAATCAGCATTGATTTTCAGCATGCATCAACACATTTAAACCTTAAGCCCTTACAACCAGAACTCCTGAGGGTCCTTATGGTGGCTAAAACCACCTGCAGCCCAGAACCAACAGACAAATAATTAAAGTCAATTTCCTGTATTCTTTTACCATCTGCTTGCGCTGAAGCAGTCTGTTTGTCATGAACTTCCTGGTTCTGATGGTCACTGTGTCATTCTGCAAGAGAAGATGCAAAGAAAACACAATAATGACAAACATAATTCAAATGTAGTAAATATGTAAATAATGCACAGTATGGCCACAGTCGGTGATCTCTCCAATGCTCACAGTGAACTCATAACCTAACCAGACTGGTCCCTGGCTACAGATAACCACATAAAGCACATTTTGATATGCACCTTTGAGTACACATCAACTGACAACAGGCTTGTCATCAGTTTTCAAAGAATGCAACAACATACATGTCTCCAGCATTCTGAACAACTGAAGCAGCATTTGATGAAATACATGGATTACAAGCCCAAACACTATAACAGTACAACCCCCTGTGCTACTACTTCCTTAGTGTTTCTAGGCAAGAACAGCCCCACGACTACGACACGAATATAATCCACAGGGACCCTTTAACTCTTTAAGAAAGGCGAGATGCTACACTGCTACCACAGGGGAGAACTGCTCTTGCCGACCAGCAGCACAGCAGGCCAAGGGTACGCCCCGGCCCACGCCGGGAGCTCGCTCCTACCAACCGGCACCGACGCGCCGCGGCCAGGCCGCAGGAGCCGCGACTCGCCCAAGAACAAGCCCCCCACAGTTTCCACCATACCCCCACAGCCCGCTACGGGCAGGCCAGCCCGCCAGGGCCGGGCGGCTCGGGAGCACCGCAAGGGCAGGATGGCGACAGCACGGGACAGATTACATCTCCCCAGCACCAGCCACTCACCATGGCGGCGACTGCCTCCCTGCCACCGAGCGAAAAAAGGAAGAGGGACCGCGCCGCAGCCAATCATAAAGCGGCGCAAGGGCCCTTCGCTCTGGGGCGGAGTCATGGGTAGGGGTGTCCAGCTCAGAGCCGGCCCGGAAGGTGGCGGCAGGGGTGGCTCACGTGTGCCTGATGGGCTCTGGGCTGAAGGCTGCTGCCTGCGGCGGGGC